GCCTGAGGTCTAATCCTGTTTAGCATAGTTTCCCTTTAATTCAATTAGTACTAACCTTTAGGAGGTAAAGGAAACTCGGGGAAAATAGATTAAATACTGTAGGTTAAGAAATAGAGTTAGGTAGAGATTTTTATAGGAAACACAAATGCCATACTTGTGACAGAGAACTAAGAGTCTCTGAGTGGGAAAGGTAAGACTTTCCTAAACATCACATGGGATATGCAGTGTCATATTTCATGTAGTTTGTTTTGTTTTACATCAGGCAGAGACCTGTAGGAAAATAAAGAAGTTTGTCCACTTGGTACATACACATAGTAAAGCAGAGATAAGAAATTGCTTAGTGTATATATTTCTAATACACATCCTTATCTTACCATGACTTCATCTGTATCCAAGTACAGAGTTGCTTGACACCTAACTTGTAACCTGCTTGTAATTTGAGTCTCTGTTCTTATAACATACATATAGCCTGTATTTGGCGGTGGGAGGGGGTCTTTCACCTTGGGAGTGTTGCTAATGCGTCCTTGTGTGACTGACCAGTCTCTACAGACCCTTACAAATAAACTATTTGGAGACTGAGTACATTGGGTTTGTTGTCTTGACTGAGAAGACAAACAAACCAGGATGAACCTTGCTGTAAAAACAGCTGAGGAGAGAGGGAGCTGTGGCACTCATGAGTTTTCTCTTCAACTGACCTCAACATGTATTTTCTCCCTATAATTCCCAAATAGGAAAGAAGTAGATGTTTATCCATCCCATAAAAATCCAAATAAAGCCCTAATAGGATAACTACTCTGGCTTAGAATTTGAGGTTATCTAAGAAACTGATGACAGGATAGTATTCCACATCATTGATTCAGCTCAATTATTTCAGCTGTATTCTTTGTAACCAATAGTCTGGAGAGCCAGTGCAGTAGTTAAGGCACCAGGCTAGAAACCAGGAGACCGTGAGTTCTAGTCCCACCTTAGGTATGAAGCCAACTGGGTGACCTTGGGCCAGTCCTTCTCTCAGCTCTAGGAAGAAGGCCAGGGCAAACCACTTCCAAAATCTTGCCAAGAAAACTGCAGGACTTCTCCAGGCAGTCACCAGGAGTCAACACTGACTCAAAGGCACAAAAAACAAACAAACAAAAGTCTTATCTACTAATGATAGCTGAATGTAATGTCCACTAAACAGAAGACAAAAATAAGAAGCAGGTTTCCAGAATTATTGTTTTATGAAAGCAACCTGACAGATACTGTTAGAAAGCAAACATGCACGCAATAATCTGGAATCTGAGTATACTCTTGTATTCAATCTTTATTTCCAAAATCTTTAAAGTATTTTTTACTTGGTGTAATTGTACTTGAGCAAGGGGTATGCTAACTATAACCGTGAACTTGCAATAGTTCATTTTTAATTATATTCCTGGAATTCCTCATTGCCTTGGGCAAAGATTTTGCGCTGAAAGCCACTCCGTACAGTATATGACTGGAAAATATCAGAAGACATGATACATACCATTCATCCTTCTGTGCTTCTGGGGAGATGTGAATACTGTGTAGCTTGTCAAGGGGGAAAGTAGTACTCTCTTGCAGTGAGTTGCTGCTCCTCACCTTTCATATAAGATACTATAAATGCAAGGTAACATAACAGTTTGGGCATCAAATGGCCAAAAAGACTGTTCCATTTGTACCAAAGGAGAGTAACATCTGAATCACTGTTATGCCATCTACTTTAAACAAGTCATACAAGTTCTACACAATAGCAATCCAAAATCTGCACCAAAATAAGTTAAGTTTGTCGAGCTGCACAAATTACATCATTTAGGCAACCGGCATGATCTCTTTAATATTGCACATTTTATTCCATTTTTCCATATATGATTTAGCATATTTTATTCTGATTTGACTAGTTTAGTCAGGAACGGACAAAGGCATTAAAATCTTATTTAGCCTCCACGCTGGCTTCTAAGCATTGATTGCATCTTTTAACCTGAGGTAGAAGGTAGAAACTAATTTTCTTAAAATGAAGCTGAATACTTCTGCTTCCCACTCCCCTTGCAGAATGGAAGCATATTCATGACTCTGATCATGGAACTGATAGCATATGCAAGGGAATCAAAACCTTCATGGCCTTTGCAACTTTGGTGGGGGCTGCACAAGATGGGGCGCCAATTGCATATATGATCTGCACATATGTTTACTGAGCATCATTGTTCTCATAGAAAGATGCCTCTCGTATATTAATTTGTCACTGTAGCCAATAGAAAAATACTTGCAAAAGGTAGCCAATAATGGTTGAAAATCCATCTACAATATTTTCCGGTTTTGGCTTTCTATGACATGACATCCAAATTCAGCCTTCAACCTTAGTAATGAAGTAACTGGCCTTTTTTAAAAAAAAAAAAAAGCGGGGGGCAACAGTCATCCCTCTGGTCTGGTCAGTTTTCTATATGGAGAGAACCAAAAACTTTCCATTTCAAAATGGAGGTAGCCCTTTAGATCCTGAAAATTTAACATGCAATAAAAAGACCTGAGCTTAATATAAGGCCTCAGTGATAATCATCAGACTGACTCAAGACTGGGGGAATCAAATGTGAAGTTCTTACAGTATTACAAGCACTTAAGGAATCAGTTTAGGCTGGACAGTTATGCTGTTTTCGATTACGTATCTGTATCTCTGCAAGAGAAAAAGGGAGCCTATTGACAAAACATAGTATTGCATCAATAGGTCATCTTGAGCCTTAGAAAGTCACAAGAGGGTATCAGAATGTGCATGCTTACATGCTTAGAAGCCAACCATTTCAGTCAGATTCGTTTCTATTTTTGATTTCAGTATTTAAAAGTGCTTTTTAAAAAAAGCAAACGAACTTAAAAGGATCTATACTGCTATGCGCTAAAAGAGCCATCTCTGTTCCCATGAAAATATTCTAATGCCCAGGAAATTTGGGGAACTGTAGTCTAGTCTAACGATCCTCGGAAGCATGAGGTCGGTCCATCAATGCCTTAATAGCTTGCAGGAAGAAAAAAGCCTCTTCCAACAGAACCAGGCACTTTAAATAGAACTGACTGGAACATTTGAGTACAGCACTAAAAAAGAGAAAGAAATTTATCTTTAAAGCAGTGATTCATTCCATCCACATTCTCACCCTTCTCATCAGAAGGGCTCTTGACCCTAAAAAGGTGAAAAATTTGATACTGAAATTGTTACACTGCCAGACTGTAGGAGGGCAAATTACTGCAGCTTTAAATAAAAAACAGATTGCTCATCTTGAGACAAATTGCCATCATATCTTAGCCACCTCTTGCTGTCTACCATTATGTCACATTTCTTTTCTTGCTCCCAGTCCCAGTTAATCTATTGTTAGAATATGAAGCTCCACATACTGATCTGAGTTAGCCTTCTGTACTTCTTTGCAGAGCCAAAACACAGATTGGATGCAATACTCTCCTGCTTGGCAACACTTCATGGTATAAAACTGGCCAATTAACAAGCTTTATCTTGGATACCTATTGTTCAAAGAAGCTTTGCTGGGTTTACCAGGCCACATTTTGAATTATGACCCAGCTTGCCTATGGTATTTTACAATCACAGCAATGATTGGATGAGGAGCCACAATGCTAGGAAGGATTTTGGAACCTTTCCCCAACCAACAGTGTTGTTGTCTGGCTTCTTATCAACTAACCTGCCCCCCAACTCTTGTGTAAAAGGGATACTTCAACTGCAAAACAGTAGTGAAATCAATGATAAAGTCTCAGTAATATTCAAGCTTATGTAGCCACCAACCAAGCCAACAATGTTCATAGTATCTAGGCAACTAATACAAAAAAAAGTAGATAAGAATAGATGAGTTTGGAAAATTGTTTTCCCTCTAAGAAACCTTTAAAAGCAACACACTAGGCTACGCTGTTCATGGTGCTGAAACACAGAACAGTTATTACAGAAGTTAGGACAAGGCATACAATCAGTGGGATTATACATCCAAAATTACAGAGTTTGGTTTATTTACAAAAGTTTCTGCCAGCACAGCATTTTAAAAGATACAAAACTGATAAAGGTATACTGTAAGTCACACTAACTTGTATGCAGCAATCTGCCATTAAGAGGATGGAGAGTAAGGAATCCCATCCGATAGCACTTGCAAATAAAGGCAGTAAGAGAAAGTTTGGTTATGTGCAGAAATTTAATTCCCAGAATGAGTGGAGGAATACATTCTGGGAACTTCATTACTTTTTATGTTCCAAAGAAATTACCAGAAGTACAGGGGGAAAAAAATCAAAGGGTTAATGTTTCAAATCAATGTATATGAAAGCCTACGAATAAAAAATAGCAGCTGTAGATATTAAACTCAGATCTACATTTTCATCTCCGTTCTGAAATATGTGCATGAAAAAGGTATATAAAGGAAGTGATTCACAAAGCTTAAAAAAACAACTGGTCAATACAATTATCTACAATTATTTTTCCAGGGGCTTCCTCTTCAGTTTTCCAAATTGTTGAACAAAACTTTAAAAAAAAAAAAAAAGCAGCTAAACTTTAGATCACTGGCAGATATATAGCTTGCCAGGAACCCATCACCATCACCGCACTGTCATGCTGAAATATATTTAGGCTTCAAAAAACCATTATCTTTTCAATAGCCTATTAAAGGAAGTCTATTATCTATATTTTAAATGTGAAGCAAATATTTTACTTTAGATATTTGTCCATGCAGCAGTTACTTGACAACATTCAATCCACAAAGGCTATTAAAAATGCTATTCATTTTAATGAATGGTTTACACTGAGCAAAATATCTCCATTATATATGTAAAGCAATCTGTGCAAACTAATATGTTGTTATCTGTAACAAGGTCCATTCCTTCTTGGTGGTTTAACTTAGTGTTATCTAAAAGTTAACTAATTGCCACTAAGTGCTAAGTACCACCATTTATGTCAGCATATGGTTGCTTGAACACTTAGGACTTCTTTTGGTCAGCATCACATTAAGCTGCAGTTCCATTTTCCAGCCACTTCATATCAAATGAGTAGTCGATCGACTGAAGGTATGGCTCCTCTTTTCAAATACTGATGGCAGATTGATCAAGGAAGGAGAGTGGATGCCCTATATTGTTTAAAAAAAAAAAGTATTAAGACTATAATCTCTTGTAGAAAAAAAAGGTCAATAAAGTACCTTTCAAAATGAGTGGGTGGGAGGGGGTAATCAAGGCTATTTTGGGAAACAGAATGACAGATCTTTCTTGTTTTTATTCTAAAAAATTAAATCTTCCAAATTTCCTATATATTATCTTATGTATAGATAATACATTTCTACCCTCTTATAATACAATTTCTAACCCTCTCTTTAATCACTAAAAGCAATCCCAAATGCCTTCAGCAACACTACTGACACAGATGTGTGTACATAGCATTTATTTTAAATCAGAGCTTCCCATGAACTTTCTGACCTGCAAGGTTCGTGGCTGATGTAACCAATCCTCAAAAGAGAGGAAAACAGTAAGAACTCATTTGTTATTTGATTTTCTTTAACAGCAGTTTCACCCTACTAACATTTCCAACCTTTAAAAAATGGCTGGCTTGCTTATTTCTAACAAAGTTATCTCCTTAGGGCAAAATGGCACTCCATCATTCAGAACAGGCGGTCCTCTTGGACTCATAGTTCTGAAGAGCAGGGGGAAGAAGGCTGAGAGGGCCTCTGCACAACCACTGTGTGTACCATTTATGGCAGTTCCTGGACCAGGAGGTGCTGCACATGGTCACTCATACCTTGGTCATTTCTTGGTTGGATTCCTTAAATGTGTTTTACATGGGACTGTTCTTGAAGACCACCTGGAAGCTATAGCTGGTACAGAGTTTATTTATAAAATTATATGTAAATCTAATTTATATGCCACCTAACTCATAGTAGCTCTGGGCAGGGTATAAGTTAAAAAAAAACATACCCTATAAAATAAAATAAAAACAAAGAAGGCAATAACCTGGGAATACACTGACTCATTAATAGAATTCCCACAAAGGCCCATACTTCTTTACCAAGCACTTGTGGAAAGAATCAGGTCTTCAAGGCCTGTTTAAAGTATGATAGCGGCCACTTAAACCTCCAGGGGATACTGTGGTTTGAGTAATTATGGGCACTCATTTTGCCCATAATATGCAACATCACTACTTGGAGAGCTGCACTGCCTGTCAGTGGGCTTCCAGGTGTGGTTCCATGGGCTGGCTGTCACCTTTAAATCCCTATATGATTTAGGGCCTGGATATTTTGGGAATGCCTGTTCTCTATAAGATTGGGGAAGGAGGGCTTCCTTTGGGTCCTTCTTCCTATAGTGAATTACCCTCAGGGCCCTTGAAAGCAGGCTTTCTCTGTCACTGCTCTTCTTCCTACCTAGGATTAGAGCAACTCCAATGCTTTTGGAATATAGGAAGGCCATTAAGACCTGGTTGTTGCGGGAAACCTTTGGGACTGAAGTGGATATGGCCCTCCCCCCTCCAAATCTGTGATGGTCTGTATTGGAAAGCATTTATTTGGCATAATAGGATTAAGGATTATAGGTGCTGTTTTATTAGTGTTAGTTTCATTTTTGTTGCAGATGGGGTGTATGCCACTCAAGTCAGTTGTGACAGAAGCAGCTTATATGCCTGCATAATTAATTAACTAAATTTGCCAACAGTTTTAAAGATCATTTAAACCTTGTGGCGGCCTGCACCAGACAAATGTACTGAAATTGCCCTAACCAAGAGAGGAAAAGAAACGTTGGCCACTATGTATCTCATGCTAGGCTAGTTTGCATCACTGGGACTATTAATATCTCTTGGTGGTTCTGCTACAGATCAACCGCAAGAGAATATATAGATATTAAATCATGGAAGGATGGGCTCTGTAATGATGTCCAAACTGTTTTTGCTCAGGAAAGTTTAGGAATTTAAAAAAACAACAACAGGGTTTAATCCAACAACATTTTGAAACTATCATAAAGCATGAGAAAAAAACCAGAATTGAGCAATATCTTATCTGATGCACATAGTTAAATCAAAGGGGTCAAGATGGTGCCCGGGAACCCAAACAGAGCCAGAATCTAGGATCTTGGATAGACTATGTGCCATATTTTACACAAGTTACTTTGTCTCCAAGAAGTGCCCCCAAAGTGGTGATGGAGCTCACTTTAAGCAGCTCTATGGTCATCACCCGCTTCATCACTGCTGATGATTGGATAAGAACTGGCCAGGGAGCAGCTATTTAAGTTTTCAGAGCTGGAAGCCATTCGCCCTTCTAGATCATAGGAAGTATGGATTAGAGGTCGAGGTCTAATATTTTGGGAAGTCCCGTCAATAGAGTTGGAACGCTGTATGTGAATGGAATGTTTAATTGGTCCATTTAAGCTGTATGTAGAAGTAGTACGCATCATCTAAAAACAATATAGGAAGGAGGAAGAAAACAAAGTTAATCTACATAATGCATCCAAGCCAAATTTAAGGATTTTACATACTTTCTTTCACTAACATATATTTTAACTATAATAAGAGCCTTACTACTCTTCAGATCAAAACAGCATACCAAGAATTTCTTTTCAACCCAACAGTGCAACATATTCAAGACAGTTAGAGCAAGATCTGCTGTTTACCGATCATGATTCTCTTTCCAATATAACTAACTTTTCCGCTGTTTTCAGTAATATAAATATTTCAGAGGGGAAAAAACTCATTCCAGCATAAGGCCATGCTATCACTAGAAACTGGTAATTGCATTAAGATAAAGAAAGCAAGCATTTGGCAGCTCCTTCTCTACAAAGAGACCCTTAAAAAATATAACTGGCTTAACCTTTAGATCTACTTCAGCTTTGATAACCATACAAATTATAAAGCCCACGCACTGAGCCTAAGTAGAGTAGATGCTGATGAACCAAAATGGCCTTGAATGTATCTTAAACAGGTATTTCCTTCTTTCTCTGACTTACTATTAACAATGCTAAAATTTAGATATTATACAAAGATTTCGGAATACAGGTAGTCCTCGACCTATGACCATTTGTTCAGTGACCATTCAAAGTTACATCGGAGCTGCAAAGTTACCACCAGTCCTCAGAGTTCTGGCCATCCCAGCACTTCCATGGTCATGTGATTACACTCTGGGCGCTTGGCAACCAGTTCGCACTTACAACCAGTTGCAGTGCCCCACAATCACATGATCGCTATTTGCAACCTTTCTTGCCAGCTTCCCCAGAAAGTCAATGGGAAAGCTGACAGGGGAAGGTTGCAAGTCGCTGGGATAAGTCTCCCCCATCCCCATACCCTCCCCTATCCCCTCTACACTGGCACTGTGCTGGCCACTTGCGCACCCCCACCAACCTGCACCACACTTCTCTGCACCCCCTCCCCAACCTGCGCTGCACCTCTAGCGCACCCCCTTGCACCCTCACTGACCTGAGCCACATCTCTCACACACACCCTTGCACCCTCACTGACCTGCATCTCTTGCGCACCCCCTTGTTCCCTCCATCACCTGGCAGCAGCCACTTACCTGCCTGCCAGCCTGGGACTTGCAACTTCTTGCCAGCTTCCCACTGACTTTGGTTGTGGGAAGCCGGCAGGAAGTTTCCTCGCCTAACGACCGTGAGATTTGGTTGACGACACAACTGGGATTGCAGGGATTGCCATCGTTATTGCATAGTGACAGAAATTCCAGTCCCAACTGCTGTTGTAAGTCGAGGACTACCTGTACTCTAAACAGGCCACAGAAGACTGTAACCAATTCCATCTGTCCACTGATGAAATAATGACCACTAGTAAAAGAAGTTCTCTTTCTTCCTTGCACATACTAAAATCTGTTCAAGACAAGACTGAGGATAAATGGGTAGAGAGCAAAAGAGAATCTGTTGCCCTTGAAGCACTGAAGTAACTAAACTGCTGAGGTCTGAGAACTTCCTTAACATGGTTTTGTTATGACCTGATGTGCCAAAAACCAAAGTTTGGTCTGGTTACGTGAAAGGGAAACAGGGAAGCCAGCCATCACAAGCTTCTGCCATTAATTTGTCGCTAAAGAGAGCACAAATTCATATTTAATTGTATTAATGAAGGGTTTCATCCCAAGTTCTTGGTTCAAGTTAATAGTTTGAGTATTTTTAGCAAATTGCTTTTCCTGTAACTGGTTCTTCATCTGTGCATCCACACATGTAAACTCATTTCTGAACAGACCAGTGATGTTGGAGGGCAAGACTCGTTGTCTGTGTTCACATGAGTGTTTGAGTGATGTTGTCATGTTTAGAGCTTTCTAAATTCCCACAAACAATGTTATCATATATTAGAGGGCCTTTCCAGTTACCCAGATTTTTTTAGCCTTTTCAGATACTCTGAGACCATTTCTGCCTTGTTTTCTTAAAACCTTTCATTTGCCATCTATTAAATAATCCCTCAACATATCTATTCTGCATCCATATTTCTGGGTACTGTGGCAAAACATTTCTTTACTACTGGGGAGCATATCTTTCAGTCACACTGAACAAATAGCTGGTAGGAGTTCAGAAAATTAAAATATGTATATAAGCAGGTCCATTATTCAAACAAGTACAACACAGGAATCAGCCTCCACCTTGGCTTTCATATTATTCCAGATTTCCCAGCCATGTCACTTACTGCTAACGATGAAGTACTGGCAAGGCGGCCCCCTAAACAGCTTTCACCAGCGAAATTCTTTCCATCTACGCTGCTGTGGGCTATCAAAGCTCTTCGAAGTGCTCTCTTTGGCGTCTTGGAAAAAGAGAATGCTCGTGTAACCTGCAGAATGTTGACATGACATTGAGGAAGCTATAGGTAAGACAAGGAAGTTGTGCCAGATATTTAAAGTGGAAAATTGGTTCCAAATTTCAGTCCAAGAAGGTTGTGCTGAGCTTTAAGTACACTATGATTCATAGAATGCTGTAATCTCATTTCAGGTTATATGTATACACTGCAACTTCAAATTTCCTTTTCTTTTGGTTTGCCAGGCAGAGAGACATGCAGCACTGTCGTAGACTTTCAAATGGTTTTCTGGAATGGTTAGTTCTTTATGATATTGATTTGTTTTTACCGATTTATATTTCACTTTTCTTGTGTAAATTCAAGGCAGGTGCATATAACAGAGCCTCCTTCAACTTCACTCTTACTACAGCCAGCTTGAGGTAGGCTGGGCTGAACAACAGTGACTGGATTAAAGTCACCCTGTGAGCTTTATTAATATTAGTTATTTTATTTTATTATAGTCTCCTATTTATGAACTTTTGAGTTACAAACAGTATGGTCCAGGAAGTCGGGAGAAGGCGGGAAAGGGTTAGTTTCTGGCGTGCCAAAAACTAACCCTTTCCCACCTTCTGCGAGGTTGGAGAGTTCCCAGAAAAGGTTAATTTACACGGTGCACTCCATCACTAGGTAAGGCAGGACAGGCAGTGGTGGCTCCCTGGGTGAAGGGGCGGCTGTGAGGGAGCCACTGCCACCTCTTCTGTCTCACCTGGCGACAGAGCATGCCATGCCCCACCGGCTTGTCCTTCTGCACTCTCCACAGTTCGCGGACTATCGCTCCTTGCACTGGCAGCAAAAGACAGAGCTCCTCTGCCCACACCACTGCCCTGCCTCCTGCCTCCTCCTCTCTTTTTTTTTTTTACTTCTTACTTAGTTGGACATTCAAACAAAACAGACTACAGACAGCCTCTTGAAACATAACCTGTTCGTAAATAGAGGACTGTCTATAATCCCAGAGTGATTGACAAGAGAACTCTAATAAATAGAGAAGGTAGATTTTCACAGCTCCCACTGATTGGTGAAATTATGTCCAGGCAATGCTGTGTGAGACAATGAGCAGGTCTTGACGTTAGCAAGGCTAGCAAAACGTCAGCAGGTATTCATTGTATCACACAGCATTACCTGGAAGTCATTTCACCAGTAAAGCAGGAAAAAATAAATAAGGGAATAAGAATTTGGCACGAAATGCTTCTCTGCTGAAAAAGTTGGCAGGGACAGCCCCATAGCAGCAGATCTTTCTGTGTCTACAGAAAGCCACTGCAGGTGGAAAGCTCTAAAAGGGAACATTTCTCAGGCAGGGCCATTCAGTTCAAAGCTGTTCCTTCCTTGTCAATCTTTCCAACCTTTCCCCTCTCTGACCCACACTTTCCAATTATTCTGCAGGCTATTTTTTCATCTTGCACCAATTCCTCCCATGTTTGACATCATGTTCCTATAATAAGTAAATTAAGAGTGGCATTGGTTAGTGGGCCAGATTCACAATTTCTTCAGAAGCACAGGTGCCTCTTTCATTTTTAAAACTAAGTTGGAAAATATTAAAGATCTGTATTTTATTGTAGTGGGATCAAAAAGCCAGGCCTTGTGAGTCTTACCAAGGATGATTTTAACTGTTTTTTTTTTTGTAAGTTTTACAGGATTTTTATGTTACAGAGCATATGTGTTTTGGGGGCGAAAGTTCTCTTAAGCAACCTAGATTTTGACATCAGACTACGGCAATAAGATGATGGGTTTTTTGTATGAAAGCTAAAATAAGGCAGTGAAGTATTTAAAATGATATATAAAATAAAAAATATCATTTTACTGGGAAATGAATTGTGTCCTCAATTTAGAATTCAAGGAGGCAAGTCCTTTTTAAGCTAAGCCTCTTACCTTTTTGGATGTTTTCTTTATGGCCCGTGATGCTCTACTCAATGTACTATCCACATCTTTCGTGTTTACTTCAATAGAATCAGGATCAGTTGCATAAATAAGATTTTCCTGGCAGGAAAAAGCCCCAACTATTAACTTCAAGGGAAGAAAAGCCATCTTGAATTTCAAATCCACATTCAAAACCCCAGGACTGCTTGAATTCCCAAATTTCACAAGCCTACTTCTCCTAGTACAGAAATATATACATTGCATCTGGCACACTATTCCTGTATTGACTGCTGTATAGGCACTTCCTCAGAGCTTTCTACTGTTTCTTTGGCAAATGGGGGGGGGGGACAGGTTTTAAGGCTCTGCTGCCACCATGTGGGAATGGTATACAAGTAAATTGACAAAACAAAGGGGGTTTTTTTCCTAGAAGAAAGGATGCAAGCCACACATAGTCAAGAAATCAAGATTCCCTCATGCTAAAAAAGAGGAGACAAGCCATGCATCACCAGAGCAGAAAGGACAGGTGTGACTTGCAGTGATGAAGTAGTAAATATATCTAGAGCCTATTTGTAATTCAACTTGACACCAGGTTCGTCTTGAACCTGGAGATGGATTCCTTGACACCTACATATTGTTTATCACAACATCTAAAAGAGTTTATCTTTTCATATGTGCTCAAAAAAGTCCACAGAGCTCAACAGAGCATACATCTCTGACATGCACCGCAGCCCGAGATATACCGTTGCTAACAGAGTTTGTTCAACCCATATTCTGTGGACAAAAGAGAGCCCAAAGAAGCAAGTATTCTAAATTATATACAGTATGTAGGTAGGTATGCGTATGTGTATATGTGTGTGTGTGCACATGTATACCATGATATAGTACTTAAATGCCTGATTCACTATTTCCAGAAGAGACATTATTTGCCTTTGACTCGGAGAATGCAATCAATCAAGTGGGCACCTCACAATTCAAGTGGGCACCTCTGCTAATTTTATTCAATATATTTATACCTGCATTTGGACAAAGTCAAAATCGTGGCAGCTAAAAAAACAATTTCTAAAATACTAAAAATATCAGAATAATTACATAAAAAGAAGAAACAAACAGCTGTTAAAAATAACGGAAGCAGACAGTTTTCCCAAGAAGAGTCTTGTAAGAGAGTGAACAATTATGGTGCAAAAGCTTCCTGAAAAGGAAACCTTGCTGGGCCAAAAATTTACCTCATACCACAAAGGCTGGCATATCAAACAGGCCCATAAGTGGGGATATTCCCATGCTATTCAATTTGCAGCATTCAGGTTTTGTATTTCTAAAATCAATATCTGCCAATAGACTATCTAAAAGGCATTACTGTACCACTTGGGAATAACGTATCCATAGTAAGCTGGTTTTTGGTTCATAGAGTATTTTCTGATCTGCAGGTGTTATCCCACGACTGTTCAAAGCATGACAGAACATTGGGATTTGCCAATGGACTGGTTGGAACTCTGCTAACATACCTAGATTATGGTGACAATAAGTTCAGTTGTCATACACAGATCTCCTATACAGCGATCCTCAACATGATGACTGGAGACAACTATGTGCCCAGCAGCATATTCCTTGATGCCTATCAGGGTCCTACCGCAACTGATTTAAGATTTTCAATTTTAAAAAAAGTAGACAGTAAGATGCTGGAAAGCAAAACGCCAGCTTCAAACATAATTTGTATTTCGATTGAAGGCTATGCAATGTTTCGCATCTGATTCAGAAGAGATGATTTGGAACCAGCAGGAGTGTGAATGCAGCACTGTTCTGTAACTGTCAGGACTAGCCCAAGGAACTCCAAGGGACAATGCCAATTCAGTCCAGCTATGTTTATTAGCTACAACCTTTAGCAAGAATCTTCCCAGACTAAACCCCCAGTCCCAAAAGTCCTCCAGCCACAACAGTGTGAATTCCTCAGGGAGGTGCCAGTCTCATCCTCTCGCTCCTCCCACACGGTTCTGGTGAGCTAAGAAAATGTTTATCTCCCTGAGCTTGGCCTTCATA